TCCGCATTCATTCCTTGAACAGGCCAAGCCTACTCTCACTCCAGGGTCATTGCATTTGCTGTTTATTTTCCTGGAACACTCCTCCCCCTGCATACCCACAGAGCTCTCTCCTTCACCTCCTTCAGGTCTTGGCTCAAATGTTATCTTTTTAAGTGAGATCGCTCTCTTTTTTTTTCATGTACATTATGTCCTATTAGGTAAAATTCTGAGCCTTATATTATATTGGTTATCTTTTTGGTTTGCAGGTTTACAAGGTTTGGTTCTTTTTAAAAAGATTATTTAGTTGAGAAAGAGAGAGAAAGACAGCATGTGGAGAGAGGGTCAAAGTGAGAGAGAGAATCCCAAGCAAACTCCCCGCTAAGGTCAGAGCCCGACACGGGGATCCAACCCAGGACCCTGAGATCATGACCTGAGCCAAACTCAAGGGTCGACCACTTAACCGACTGAGCCACCCCAGCGCCCCAGGTTCTTTTTTTTTAAGTGAGATCTTTCTTGACTATATACAATAGCAATTCCCATCCTCCTTATCTAGCTTTATTTATTGCTCTATTCTCAAAGACCTCAAAATTTAATAGGAAAATGTAGCCACCTGAACAGACAAATAACACTTGACCATGGACACATCTGTCTATAGCAAATATATGAACAAGTGTTGTTGGAATACAGAAGACAGAGCAGAGAACTCAGAGAAGGGGAAGCCAGGAAGGAATCACAGAGACAAGGAAAATGGACTTGGATCTCTAAAGATGACTAAGAGTTTATTTCTGGAAAAAGAGAAGGACATCAATTATGCAATGTATGAGTGAACAGAACAGCCTAGAATGCTAGAATATTCAGGGAATGAACCTAGCACAGGGTATGCGAGAGTGGGTGACAGAAATGAGCCTGAAGAGGTGTTTGGGGGACAGAAATGGAAGGACTTCTGCCCTCCACACCTATCCCTACTCCCTTGGCTCATCTGGACCAGAACCAGGATTTTCCATAGCCCAACCCTCCATTAACCTGTATCCAGCTTCCACCCCTCATCATACTATCTCCTAAAGGGCCACCAGAGTTAAATTTCTAAAAGGTAGATTTAGTCACATCATTCCCCTGCTTAAAACTGATTTCACTCTTTATTGTCTATGGAACCAAGCTCAACTCCTTAACTAGCATATAGTTTCTTTCTATAGGTTGTAAGTGAAGTGAAATTTTCCATTTTTTGTCTGTTTTGTTTGTTTGTTTTGTTTTGTTTTTCTACCTCCCCAAGTTTTCCATTTTTATTAAAACTTGTTTCACTTTATTAATCCAGAAATGCCATGCTGGAATTCAAATTTATGTCTGATACATATTTCAGTTGTCCCCACATCAGACCCCTGCCCATACTTTTGAGATTCATCATACAAACATAACTACATAAGAGTAATTTCAAGGGGCACCTGGATGACACAGTTGGTTAGGAGTCCAACTCTTGGTTTCGGCTCAGGTCGTGACCTCAGAGTTGTGATCTCAGAGTCCTGAGATTCAGCCCTGCATTGGGCTCCGTGCTCAGTGTGCAGTCTGCTTGAGATCTCTTTCTTTCTCCCCCTCAGCCCCTCCCCCCCCCAACTCATGTGCGTGCCTGCTCTCTCTCGCTCTCAAATAAATAAGTAAATCTTAAAAAAAAAAAAAAAAAAGAGTGATTTCAAGCATAGAAAAAGGTTTTTTTTTCTTTTGTTTGTTTTAATTTTTTAGTAGTTCTGTTCTGGCCTCTTACTGACAAACGATCCCCTTTAACAATGGTTCTCAAATTTCAGTGTGCATCAAATTCCTCCAGAGAGCTTGTGAAAACACTAATTGCTGCACTCTGTCCCCAGAGATTATAATTTGGTAGGTCTAGCATGGGGCCCAAGAATTAGCATATCTAACAAATCCCAAGGCAATGTTGCTCTTGCTATCTGGGGGCCACAGTTTGAGAACCATTGCCCTGTAACAGCTATAACCATGTGATTAATTCTGAAATCCTTTTATATGCTCATGGGAAGTGAATTCTGCCAAGAATGTCAAAGTATGGGTTTTTAGAAAAATGACAGCTTCTGCTCATTCACCCTGGAGCAGTTGCATAGACAGATACAGAGTGGTAGACACCAGACCCATGGGACCCTGGGAGAACCAGCTCAGCACCCTCTTTAAGTGAGCCACAGAGGTATTCTCTATTTTAACCTTCCTCTGAAAGACCTAAGAAGGGATTCCTCTTGGTCACAGACAATCCTGTCTGAGGCTGGCCCTGCCAGTGGGCCCATGAGTGGCAACAAAATCCCCTACTCTATCAGCCTTACACGTATAACACCTACCTCAGAGCTCACATCAGTCAAGGCTCACAGTAAATACTTATACCTGAGTGATCAAGTTCCACTGAACCCAAATACGCTGGAGGGGTTCCATGCAAATGGAAAGTACTTTTGAACTGTGTTTCTTGCTTATCCCAGATCTTTGATGGTGTCTATTTCAAAGAAACAGTAATTGCATGTATATTATAATTTTTGACATCAGATAATACTTTGTACAAAATCCTTCAGAGGTCAGAAAGTTTTTAATATCCTTTCATCCCCAAGAAATGAAACAGATATGTTAAGCTGTCTGG